CGCAGCAGTGCTGTAAATTCACCTCTCTGCAGCCCAGATGAGGCATACCTGTAGAAAGCAGTTATGTGAGTATGGCTGTGTCTCCAGTAGGCGCTTCTGGGGGCAATTCTTCTAATAAGGCACTGCACCTTCTTGTTGCTCACTAGCCAGGAGAGATCCACAGGACAGGCATATTCTGGGATAGCATAGCCCAACTGAACGAGGTGGAATGAGCGATCTAATATAGGCAGCCTAGCCAGGGGATGCTGCTATATGGTTGTTGAGATGTTCACTCCACTATAGATGTCCCTATTCAGGAGAGAAGTGGGCTATACTATTCTATAGCTAGATAGATCCACCCATAGATCTTTTGGTGTATGGGTGTGCAGAGCAGAGCGGTTTTGACACTCTGTTAAGTGAAGTGGGCCACCTCATGTGGCTGCACTCATGGGATGGAAAATGCTGCTAGATGAATCAGCTACACCAGTACAAAGCCTGTATGGAGAAAAGGCTTTGTACTTTTACTTGGAGTTACTGTCTCTATTAAGTTTTCTCTTGGGAACGTTTTTTGGTATAGTATGTACCTTTTCCGTTTAAATAGCAAGAATTGGGTGAATGTGATTATATAGGTTCACCTCCTGCTGTGAAGGTGTTACATGTAAGTGTATGCAGCTGACCTCTTGCGTTGTCAGCCCAGCCTTTGGGTTGCTGGGGGTAAAAGGACTTGCATGTGGGGGCACTCCCTCCAAACCTTCTTCCGTGAGCCTGGCTGGGAAGGAAGACATTTTGTTCTGCATGTGAAAAAGAGATTTTAAATCTTTCTTTTGTAGTGAGTTTGAGAGAACTACCTTTAAAAAGCGCCAAGTAGCTCACTGTAAATAAACCTAGATGAGTGAAATACTTGTATTTTTAAAGCTCTTAAAACAGATTTTATAATGGAGCTGAAGGATGTCTTTGCAGTGGGAGGTACAAGAATTACAGCAATGTTTACCATCATCTGCAGTGCAGGCAGGCATGGTACAAATTCTCCTATATAATCCAATAAAAATACGGTATGCCTGGCCTGTAATATTTACAACTGTCATAAACTTTTTGGTTATGCTGTGTGCACTATCAGATCCATTATGCCCTTCAAATCACATAGGACTAATTTATTGATGGATCCCAAACCAAGAGTTTCATTAGAAACTTTTACAGAAAATCATGATAAATGACTGTTTACAAAGACAGTTCTCTTGAGGTGTATTCATTCTTGGAGAGAAAAATATGACTATTGCCCTGTCATAAAAGTAAAAAAGGATAGAATTTTTTTTATTCATTATAGCTAATTAAAATGTGCATGATTTGAACATATAACAATAAATGCATAACTGCAGCACATTGGAATGTATTACTATATCTGTAAGAAGAAGAGTTGTTCAGCATAGTTGTGCAGCAAAATATTTTTCTTATTCTAATTTATGTCTGCTCTTGCAAAATCACACATTGATGTGTCATTTAGGCAGTTTTCTGCATGCATACTGTCTTTTGCCTGAATATTTCAATAACAGCTAATCAATTACAAAGTAAAAGCTCATGTTCAGCTTACTTATTAATTCATTTTCTAATGCCGTGCTGATATCAGTGACATTTTTAAAAATAAATCTTCTGGAAACAATCCAGCTAAATCAGAGGGAAAAACATGTAAGAAAATTGTATCAGAACTGAGGTGTTTGATGTTAATGGACTGTGTGCTGCCACTTCAAATTTCACATGCACTCTAAAAAACTGAGACTGACTTGATAATTAAAATCAGAAAGATACTGGGTTGTATGGCTTGTATGGATACTGGGTTATATTCTTCTGTATACCAGAAGAATAAGCAAAATCATTCTTAGTTTACAATGAAGAGGTAAAGTAAAAAAAAAAAACCACAGCATTTTTAATGTTTCAAATACTATTGGATTAATTGAAAGAATTAAAAATAGAAGCATTTTCATTCTTTGAGTTACCATTTGGGGCCCTTGAGTAAAGCTGATGATGTTTCTGGACAAAAGAAAATCAACAGCATGCCACTTTCAGTATCTACTGAATGTTAGGTAGTTAATAATTTAAAAAAGAGAGCTTTCTGCTACACTTACAAGGTTTCCCCTTTTGTCAGAGAAGCAGCCAGGTTCAGTTGCCTGTTGGGTATTCCTTTGTATGCTCGCTCTCAGTGAATTAAAATGGCTTCTCCTCAAATAAGAGAAACTGCCCTCAAATTGCAGGGCAAGATTTTCTGATACCCTTGATATGAACCACCTCAAAGATGAGAGCCTTAAAAAAATATATATTTCAAAGGTGTTTTGGATTATTATTTGACCAGCTCTTGAAGACAAAAAGGGAATTGTAGCAGCAACAAATGCAGGCAGACGTGATTGTGCCTGCTCAAGGACTTGACCACAATTTCTGCTTAGAGGAAGCTCCTGAAGAATGAGCAAAATAATTTTCAGGAATGTGTATCTTAACAGTTGTGCATTGCACGAGTGTAAATTTTTTCCATCTCCTGACCTGAGCTCAGATCTGTTTTCTGCTTCCAGGACGTGCAGAACAGATGGTGGAGACTAATTGGGGTGGAGGGCAGAACCTCTATATGCTCTTGAAATCCCGCGCCTCTCCGGAGGTCGAGGGGGCAGTTGCTGTAGCATAGGCATCCTCAGGGCTGATGTAAGCGGTGACAGCCTCCCAGGGTTTGCCTGCTGGTCGTGATGCAAAGCTGAATGTGTGTAGCAGTCATCTGCTGCCCTTCTCTCCAGACAAATTCCTCCATCCCTCCGTCTGACTCGGATGGCAGAAGTGTGTGTGTGCACATGGAGGTGCCTATAGTGAGCCCTGCAGCAGCCCCATCAGATACAGAAGCAGCATTTTGGGTTGACATCAGCTTTGCTGTGGTAGGGTTGTTTTATGTTGGCCGCCTTTTCTTGGCCTTGCATTTTACCAGTGTTGCTGCAAATAGACCTCTGGCAAACTGCTTCCTCCCACCTTTTCCAAGTGTCAGAGCTTTGGAGGGCAGGATGGGCCTCAGAGAGATGCAAATTGTTTCCTTGTACCAGCCTGGGTGCTCAGAGATGTGGTGCTGTTCCCATCTGCCCTCCAACAGCTCGTGCTAAGCCCCGTCTCTGCTAAAACTCACACTGTAGCAGGCTGAGACTTGGTCTGGGAGCTTGGGGGTTGTTGCCCTTCTCGCCCTTTCCTTCTTCCCAGAAAACAATAAAAAGTCACAGCAGGACTTGTTTCACCTTTCTGTCTGTCTGTAACCTTCACACCAGTGTTCAGTCCCGGCCACTGCTCTGGATGTCATTATAGGCCGCATATGCAGATTATGGAGGAAATGGAAATCTGTTTCCAACTCTGTGAGCAGTTGCACCATGCATCAGAGTAAGTGCTGCTGAGGAAGGAGAATACAATGGGACACCCGACCAGACACCTCCTAATTTGCGTCTTCCCATTGTTAAAGTGGAGATTTGTCATGCAGAGAAACCACACCCGGCAGTTGGGTTTTCCTGTCATTCTGAGGGATCTGGGAGAGTGGCTGTAATGACAGAGAGAGATGCCAATCAGAGCTTTTGTAGAGCCCCGTCATGTAATTTGTGTTGTGTCTCTTCTGTCATACCATCAGCCAGCGTCGCTCATGTTCAGTCTTAAGGTCTCCGTATGCAGGTACACTGCGTTACACCCAAACCTTTTGTTTGCTCTGTCATCTTCTCTCATTTCTTCCCCTCACCCTGCTTCTCCAGTTGCTCCATTAAGCAAGAGGCAGCCATAGGTGAATCGCTATGGGGTGTTGGCCGTGCTAAAAAGATCCTGAAAATATCTCCTCCTCAGCCCAAGCAGCAGTAACGAAGCAGGACTGTCAGGCGGTGGGACCCCGCCAAAGAAGCAATGGTGCAGATGCACAGCATGTGTAATTTAAAATGGTAATTTCATATGCCATCACTGGGCTGATGTCAAGAAGTGGGACGTTAAAGGCTTTTTAATGGACACATGAAGTAGCACGAGGATGAAGCTGACTCTCACCTCTGTGAGCAGAGGTGGCCTTTCTGCTGTATTGTATCCATGTGTTTTAGGGAGAAGACAAATGGCCTGCAACATTATTCTCCATGAGCCACATCCATCTACATATAAATTACAAAGGTCAGGTCCACTTGTACGATAATTAAATTTTAATAAAATAAGAATAATTTGTAACATTCAAGTCCACATTATAATTATAGCGGGATAGCTATCACCCACACAGCCTCAGTACACGATATAGTTTATGCATGAGCTCAGGATTCTCTGCAAGATGCTGAAATCAACATTGTGTGCTAGGGATGTGGATACTTATTTTAGGCACTGAGTTTGAAAATTGTGGTTTGTAGAAATATATGCAAAAATATTGCCAAAATAAGCATTCAAAAACTCATTTCAATATGCAGCTGCTTGTAAGCACGGTAATTAAGATATATTGGGTAAATTTACTACATCTTTTCTCACACACACCAGTGAGGCAGAAGTTGCAGATTTCAGACGAAGACTCAACAGATCTTTAAACTCCAGCCAGGACTCAGCAGAAAGTCATCTGGGAGAGCAGGTCTGCTGCTTAGCCTGGTCTTGTCTCCACTGCTCTGAGCTCTTTGATGGAGGGAATGTTGTTGAGATCACCCAGCTCCCACCTATTATAGATGGATTAATTATTGTTGTGGATCTGCAGCATTGAGTTCCTGCACGACAGCAATGGGTTAACTCAACTTTTAATGTCTTCAAAACACTTTTCACAAATGAACTCATTTATCCTTGCAATTCTGCGGGGAGGGAGGGAGGGAGGGAGAGAGTCAGTCTACCTGTTTTCTGGATAAAGGAACTGAAGTGAGGATTTTGACATTTTTCTTGGCAGGAATCAGTGTCGGCTTTACACTTCACATGCCATCACCAATCACTCATTGCTCTAAATGCTGTGCTCCTTCTAGCTTGCTCCTTCTCCGAAATAAATCAACAGGTTTTGCCTCTACTTTATCCTCCAGCTGGGGTGATGCTGGTCCCTGAAAGGAAGACGGAGGATGGGTTTGAGGAGCACTTCGGCTTGAACTACTTGGGACACTTCCTGTTGACTAACCTCCTCTTGGATACGCTGAAGCAATCAGGAACGCACAGTCACAACGCTAGGATCATCACTGTCTCGTCAGCCACCCATTATGTAGGCAAATTGCACCTGAATGACTTACAAAGCAGGTACTAATCCATTTTTGGTATTCACTGGTCTGCAGTAAGGGTGTGCAGATTAAACTCCAAGAGAATTGTTACTGAGTACTGAATCTGGGGGGTTTTGTTGCCTTTATTTTTTTTTTTTAATGAACAGTGATTCTCAAGCAGTTGCTAAATATCTTTCAGATTTGAGCAAAGCTTGCAGCTTTCAGTCAAAGATACAAATAATTTATAACCTTGTAAATTGAGACTTTTATTCTGATCCTTGAAAGCCTTGCTTCCTTTCTGATGCTTACACTGTGGTGATGGTTGTGGTGCAGAGCCTGGACTCCTCACTGCCTGATCAGGGAGACTCTCAGTAACTGGGATGTTTTAAAATGGCTTGGGCAAATGCTAATAGGCTGCGTCCTCAAGTGAATGCATACATAGAGGCCCTGATCCTGCCCTCAGATGGGCGCAGACAGATGCCTGTGGCCGCTAGCTCCCTGCCCCAGCACTTGGCTCTGGGGGGGCAGCTAGGCCCGGCTGCCTCGCAGCTTCGCCCAGCCCGCACGCTGCCTGCTGCTCCTTCCTCCCTGGCAGCTCTGCCCACTGGTCTGCAGCTCCCGGCACACCATCCTCCCTTCCCTCTGCCTCTGGTCTCCGCCTTGTCCTGCACCGCTCCTGACGTTCTGGTCCCCCACCTCTGCCTCCCTCACAGCCCTTCTCCAGCTTCTCCGCCTGCCTCCCATCCCCGGGCTGTGTCATCCCTCCCGTCCCCGTGGTGCTTGCCCTCTCACACATCAGCCTGGTGCTTCACTGCAAATGCTAGAGCCCCGGCTCTTGTCTGGGTCACCCCCTGCACTTCCCTGAGAGCTTACCGAGATCCAAGTGTGCAGCCGCCCTGGGTTTTTAACCCAGTAAGATGGGTTAAAATGCATGGCCATATTCTGTCCAACTACTTTCATTTAGGAAGACTGTGGGTGAATGTCTGTGGGATATTTCTAATATTAGGAAGACATCAAATGATGAGGTAAATGTCTCTGGTGTCATACAGGAACCGTGTAGAGTTGTTTAGTTAATTGAGGAACGGGCAGGATAACTGAGATACATTTCAAAATTTCCCCATGCAGTCATGTGCGGCAATTACGTGCTTACTAACAGGCTCAAGCAGAGCCTGTCTTCTGATCGGCTCCCGAGTGTTTCTGCCTGCACACAGCCAGTCTCAGTTTTGCCTCATTTCCATGGAGAAATTCTGTCTCTGTCCTTTGACAGGGACTTCAGCACATGTTTAGAGGCACCTGGCCCAAGGTTTCATTGTGGAACAAAGACTGAAATTAGAGGGCTGGGCTGTTTCCACTGCAGACATTTTACATATGAATGCTGCATTAAGCATGTCAAACTTTCTGTTTGTCTTCTGATTACATGCTACGGCATCAGTTTTATTACAAGCACATTGTTTAAACTCTGCAGGGTAGTCGCAGTTTAATCTCTTGCTCGTAAAACAACCTCAGGAAATTACCCTTACTCTTCACTTGATGTATGTATTCATTGTTTCTGATGGGCATGTGCTGCATGGCACCACGCAAGAGGGCTAAGGGGAGTGTAATTAGTATTTCTTTGGGCTAAAGTGCAGAATGCAAAGTTAAATGTGGCTGTTCCATACCTCTAGATAACAGTATTTTCCTTGATTATAGCAAAGCCTTGTACTGTGCCTCTTTAATTTAGGGTCATCCTTACCTGTGATTCATCATTATTAACTCATATTTTAAAGGAACCAGAATGTTTCAGTTAGGAAAGTTATGGTTGACCATGAACATGACCAATCCGATGTAAAAAATAATAATATACCAGTGAGATTTACCTGCAGCTTTTGCGCCAAACCCTGCCTTTTACATTTCAACTTTATTGGTGTAAGAAGAGCCATAAAGGACGACAGACTCTGGCTGATTTTGCCTGCTCTTTCCCACATGGATGCTCTGAATTGCTCGGGGGCAGCAGCGGTGCCTGCTTTCCGAGCACACAGGCACACCGGTGGGACCCAGAGGGGGCTGTGGATTCAGCTCCAAACCTTTTCTTGGTTCAGGCAGAAGAATTTACTCCTGGTTTTTTTTTTTTTAGCCTAACTGCCGATAAGCCCCCAGTCGGGTGAATAGTTAGTTATCGCATAAACGGTGCTGCTAAAAACAGTGAGATCGGTTGTGTGTTCGAGTGTGTGCCTACAGCGTGAGTGGGTGGTTTAGCAACCCTGGAGGACTGTTGCGGGGTAGCATACACGGGCATTGCCTACACCATGAGGCCTCGGAGATGCCTTGTGATTCAGAGCAGCATTTAAGAGCTTTAATATATGTGGTAGAGACACCCGTGGTGAGCACTGTGATATGATAGTGTTCCACGAATTGCCACAGTTTCCCAGTGATGCCATCCCTCATTTTTGCCACTTGTGTGAACGGGAAATCTTTTAAAAATTTTATGCTGGCTTTTTCCTTATTTTGCGTTGCACTAGCTGGCCATAATTCATTTCACACTTGGGTGTATGTTCCCAGATTGGCCGGTAGTCCTAACCTTACAGGGAGGCAGCAAAACAATTTGAAGTCATTTATTCACAGTGGAGAAAGGGGGCCGTACTGTGTGCTGGAAAAATTACCGGTGGCAGCAGACTGAATTGTTTACCATGCCCTTGTCCTGTTATTCCTAGATTTTGTTTGGGCTAGTGTCCGAACTGGAGGTGAGTGACGGTGGCGGAGGAGGGATCCATCCATCAAACACGGCAGAGAAGGAAAGGCAGAAGACTGTCCTGACATAAAGGAGACAGTAAACCAAGGCTCAGTTCTCTGCTTTATCACAGAGTTTTCTATGGGATCGTTCTCCCACTCAGGAGCTCTGGGTTGGCAGTCACAGTTGTGGCCATTGCTCCCATTGTACTTGCTGCTCAGAGTTGTGCTCTGAAGCCAGAAGTCATCCATATCACAATGACCACAGGGCAACAGCATAACTAATAATTGTTGTAAGGTCTGTCCCATGAACAGTATTAAGTGCAGCTTGTGCTACTGTCTTCCACCTTTCCTTTTTGGTTTGCTTTCTGCCATCTTACCAATCTGATTCATCCATGTTTCTCTTTTCAGCTCCTTTTTGGTGGGAGGGTTAAGTTAATTTTTTCTTGATTTTCCTTGCATTTTACATTATTTTTCTTCCTGTGTTATCTCTCTCTTCATGCCTGCCTACTTGACTTCTATGTTCATAGTTTCATCTTCACCTGTGTCCTTTGAGCTTTTTTGTCTCCATTGCCTTTTGCCTCCCTATCTCATTTTTCCCTCTTTTTTTGAGGGGGTGTCTTATTTACACCCACCAGTTAATTTCCTCCTCTCCATTTATCTTCCTTTTATCTTCTCCCCCTAGCCCCAGTCCTATTTCTCCTCTATGAATGTCATTTCTCCCCCTTCCTGCCCATCCTCTTCACGCACACCAGTAAAAGAGACACGGCATGGGTACATCAAGGCAGGACAGAGCTTGTTCCAAACTGGCAGGGCATAGCTTGTTTCATGTGTGTTATTGAAAATGCAAACGCACAAAGGCAATGACTGTTCTCCCAGTTCTTTTGCTGAAGGATATATGAAGAACATCAAACACCTTTGTGGTCTTTTAGATCCAGACCATTTTCAACAGCAATCACATGAGTTGACAAGGGGATCCCTAAGGCAAATCATTCTCCTTCGTCCCTACTTCGAATACGACTGTTTTCAGGGAGGTGAAAGTTTAACAGAAACGCTATCTGCAAGCGTTTCAACAGTGGTGATTTCAGCAATTACATGCTGAGGGTCATACGCTGTGCACTCTAACAGCATAGCTAGGGTGTCCCTTTTTCCTCTTTTGCCTGACTTAAATAATACTTTCTAAAGCGAGAGAAGAAAAAAATATGGTCATGAGAGAATATGGCTGTCTGGTTTTAGCAAAAGTTTGAAGAACATTGTGCCGTCCTCTTGGGTTGAGATAGGCTTGAACAGTGCACTGGAGTTCATGGTGCTTTTACAAGGCTGGGATGGAGGGCACTCCTTCAAGTACTCTACCTACCAAAGTGAGAAGGAATTTTAGGAAAATAAAGAAAAGATGACCTTATTCCCTTCCCCAGGCTGTGGGTCACGCCTGAATGTGTTCCCTTTCCCGGGGGTAGCATCTTTGTGTGTTCTGTCTAGCTTTGTCTCCATGACTAACTATTCCTTTCATCATTCTCTCTTTTTGCATGCCAAATGGGCCCTGTAATACTGTGAATCACAGATCTATGAACTCCCCAGCCACAGTAACACAGCTCCTTTTCTGGTTCACGTCTCCTGTATATTCAGGAACAGTTAGTCACACTTCTGCTCTCTTTCTCTTCTCTCTCACTGCAGAAGGAGCTGATGTTTTTTGTAACTCTCCAAGCTGGTACAGTCCCCAGATAATTTCTGTATTTTTTCCCTGTAGCCCTAGTGCATGAATCATGTCAGAGAGAACAGAGATTGAATGAAAGGAATTGCAGAAATCCCGGCTGCCATATGTGCTTCTTAGCTGGTGTAAAATAGGGTAAACAGCTCTGCCCAGGACTTGGGAGGGTGCTGGGGGGAGGAGGCAGCTCCAGTTTATCTATCTATATCTCCTCTGCTAGGCCATTCATAAGGGCTGTAACAGGAGGTGTCACATGCTGCTGGGAAAATCTGTCTAGCAAAGTCCCTGGAGACCTCCTTTTCTTGGATGGGTGGTGTCCTTCATCCTCACATCTTTTGTGTGTGTGATGTTTGTTGGTAAATGAAATTGTATTAAGTTTGGGCAGAAAGTTGAGGATTTTGTCCCATCAGCATTGCTGAGATTTTGAAAATATTGTCCATGAATAGCAATGAAAAATTAAAATGCCAAATTGCTTTTGGAAAATATGAATCCATTTTTCAGACCAAAACCATTGATTTCAGTGATTTCAGAATATTTTATTTCTAATTTATTTGTAAATTGAAGTATAATGTTGATCAAACTGAAACTCCAAACCTTTAATTTCTAACTCATCCTGTTGAAGTAAG